CAACTTTGGCTGTGGCAACAACACTGGCTATGGCGATGGTCCAACGAAGCGGCCACAGTACATGCGGATATCACGGCTGATCACCGTGACGTACCTGCAGAACAATTTCAGTGTGATTTTCTGTCAATGGCAACCGGCCAAGCCTAGAACCGGCATGTCGATCATTTGGATTTTTCTTTGTCAAACAGTTTCAATTTGGCAACAACACTGGCTATGGCGATGGCAGCTCCTTGATACCTTTTCGGGTCCTTTCACTGACCCACTCCTGTCAGGTATAAGTGGATTGTTTTTGCACGTTGGATGCAATCCACAACAAAAGTCGATAAGACTGTTCTGAGCAAGTGTGTGTGTGTGTCCCTGTACCGCTGTGCTTGTGCACCTTCGGGTTTGAAAAGGTATGTTTCCGCACGTTATGTGAATCGATACCATTGATTGCAATGGTTGATAGCTGCAACTACTCATCAAAAGTGCCCCAAAACGCGTCCAATGAATGAGTTGCATTGTGGCTCTCCTTGTAAAACATTTTTCGGCTAAAACAATAAACATTTTTTGTTTGACAAAGGTACTTGTCCAACATGGTATCGGAAGCACGAGCTCTCTCACAGGCAAGACCACATATGAAGTAGCACATCATGCGAGCCGCTGCACCCTTCAAAAACTTCTGGGAAATAGTCGGGTAAGTTGTTGAAGAAGACTGCAACACTTTTGAAGTGAACAGTTTCGGGTTGGCCAGATACTCACAGCCGAGCTTTATCTCGGAAGCCCACTGGAAATATTGCATGCGTATCGTGTCAAGGCCCTGATCTCTGTTTCCGTTGTCAGTGGCAAACAAGAGGAACGACCCAATGCTGTCAGGAGCTATGGCCAAGTCCAGCACGTGTAACACATCGGGATAGATACGCCAAGGATCAAAACTGGGAGTTTAGTCCATGGAGTTTCCCCATGAATCTCAATCCAGTCAGATGCATCTCGCACTAGCCTCGAGCAATCATGCAAATAATCATTCCTAAGTATTCCCCACCCATCAAGACAGGCAAACTCTCATTTCTATACATCACAAGAGAAATGTGATTCACTCCCAGATACGTTTGTCGATGTTGCGCATGAATACCCACGGCAGTATATACCAAAGTCTCATCCTCATCAGGCTCCACAAAGGTCACAGCCTGGAGCAGAACTGGCATTGGCAAACCTACAGCTTTGATTGATACAGTGTCCAATGGTTCTTCACTTTACTGTCGAAATGACGCAATGTTGCACCATGCCTCGCAAAACGGGCAGCACTTTCTGCGCTTGCTGTGCCAACTTCCTGTGGCCGAAGACGGACGCAACTTGGCAAATATGACACTCATGCAAAACAGACGCACATATATATATATAAATATAATAAAAAAAAATACATGTGTGCAACCAAAGATCTTTTGAATTCGAACAGTTTATGGAGAAATTCCTGGTCGCCATGAAAGCCGTCCACAACAGCCCGAAACGGGCCGCAGATTGGTTTACCTGCTTTTTCCTTCCAATGTTGAGGGCAACAGGCCCCAAAGGGTTCCCCCCAAGCATCTGTCTCGGGCCAAATTCCCTTGCCTAGGCTGCAGTGCTGTTATCAATGAACCCCATGAAATACACATCCATGTATTGAAAAGATAATCCAGCAATCGGGATAAAATTGTCCATGATGCAAAGGGCTTTCATAGACCAAAGGATGAGCTCCATGATCTTGGTCCGGGATTGTTTTGCCGTTTTGGGATCCTGGCGACAACAAGGGGCTCTGGTAAATGGTATGTTGACACATGGACGACAATGTTCCACACTGGCCTCATGGGATCGGCTCACGTTTCGCACGGCTAGCCTCAAAGGTATCGGGGCAAAAGCTGGACAGGCATGCATTTTATCAAGAAGATGTTTGAACCTTGGCTCCAAACACAATACGGTTGTCGAGTGATGATGAAAATGGACTCAGAACTGGAAGTAGTGAAAGGAGCTCAAAGGACTGGTGGCCTTAGGTGTGCATAAGGATGTTTTAGACTCACTTTAATGTTTGAAAGGCGACTTATTGAGTTTTGGGCTGAAAGCATCAGCTCCATCACCATACAATCTTACAGGGAGGACGTAGCTCATGCTGGTGGGTTCTTCCACCTCCTGCAATTTCAACAACATAAAAAAACGTGAATTCTGAAATGGCATGAGAACCTGCAAAGGCGCACCTGTTGCCTCCAGTACGCTCGCAGGTCATCTTCCAGTTTAGTGTTGTGAGACCAATACTCTTTTTGCACCTAAGAACCCACATGCAGATGGGGGTAAGGACGTTTTCCACCAACATTTCTTAAACAACCAAAATCACAGAATGCTGCCGTGATACCCCAGGGAGCCCTGCCAACAGGCTGAAAAACAGCTGACCGTTCTGGTAGTTGTAGAGGCTACCAAAGATCTCGTGCGGCAAGAGCAGCCCAGATGTTACGAATTTCAAACTCGCGGTATTCGTTTTTTGCGCCTCGGATCGTAAACTTTAGGAGCACTTGCATATTTAGGTTCAGCTTCAGAACTGCACATGTGCAAACAAGGAAAAATTGAGCTGAGCTTCTCTGGGAAGCTAAGCTGCAACCTTATTTGCACCGGCTCCGCATTAGATAGCAGCATCGGTCTTTTCCAGAGTAGGATGTGTTTTGGCACCAGCATTCAAATATTGCAAATCTACACAAACATATATATATATAGATGTATGTGTATCGATCTATATCTAAATCTAAATCTATATATATCTATATATCTATGTATATATATATATATATAGATAGTTGTCAAACATATATGTAGTCGAGGAGCTGAAAAACTGGAGGCAGGCAATGCCGCCAGGGTTGCTGGTCAATCCACTTGGCAAACGTCCTTTCTAGCCCCCACCCACTGGCGTTTTCAAACATATCAGCCAGCTGAAGAATTGAAGGCCTCAGGAGGAGACAAAACACTTTTTTTGCAGTGTTTTTTGATTCAACCATGACATATATTGAAAGGAAAGTGATCTGCAACATCGGTTTATGAACATGTAAGCCAATGACGGTATGAGGTAATGCGGCAAGTCAGAAAGAGCAGCCAAATTTTTCTCCAGCCGCTTCATTGATGCCTGGATGAGAAAATTCCCTATTGCTGATTTTTTTCAAGCTAAAGCGGGTTGAAAGTTGAAACATGTTCCAATGCAGTGGTCCTCGCCTCGCCCTTCATTACCATCTCCAAAAAATTGGTAACGAGCTTTGCAGCTCCGCCCGAGGATCGCTTGGCAGCCTGCAAGCAGAAGGAACTGTGTTGGCTTTCGGGCAAGTAGCTCGCTTGGACATCTTGGTGAGAACATAGGGGGTGGGTTCTGGGTGGATGTGACAGTTTTTCTTGTAATGGCTCTCGTGGGTATACATTTGGGGAAACTATCCCAAAAATGATATATAGTCTGTTTCTAAAGTGGCCCAATTACTGTAAATAGCCAAAATGTTGATGAATCCGGGGTTGAGCTCTTGTACGCTTTCATACATACATACATCTATATATATATAATAGATAAATAAAAACACAAATATGTATAATATATTTACACACGCATATATATATATATACACATATCAAGTCTAAACTTCCATACGGATTTTGTCACCGCGAGTGAAAACCTTCTGAACTCATCGCAAAAAGATTGGTTCAACCATTTTTCCAGCAGCGCTGACGATCACGCAGGGTCTAAGCCTCTTTCATCGGCCTTCCCACAGTCAACACCCTAGGATTTGTCAACGTAAAGTTGGTCCCCAAGGCTCACACAGGCCACCAAAAAAGTGGAGTATGAGCAAACGCCCAAGACATGATTGGTTTGTAAAACCCATCACTAAACCCAACTGGACAGCTTCGATCCAGCCATTCACAGCAGCACCACCATTCGATGTCTCACTCATCGTAAGTGAAGCCATCCCACTCATTCCACCAGTGGTCCTCCTCCCCTGGCTCATCATCCTGGCGGGGAGTTGATCATATGATTTTTTGGTGGTGGTGTGCCAGATTTTTTTGGTGGTGTCTTCCCATCAGATACCATATTAGTTTTGGATACCAAATCAATTGAATATATGACCATTGGCTTTTGAAGATGCTTCCCATACGATCTTCGGATAGCCCCTCAATTTATCAAATGATATATATATATATATATATATATTTGGTTAAGAGGTTTCTGATTCATGCTACACTGCAAATTTCTTTCATTGGGAAAAATGCTGAGAAGAAACCATATTGGATTTTGAGGTACCGAATCTTCAAGATAAACATATATATGAGGATGGAGATGGGCGCGCAAGATGTGTAAAGGCATTGGCACTGGCACAGTGCCTCCATGGGTGCTTCCTCATTTCCATCCACTTCCTTCTCTTCCTCTTCTGGCTCTTCCTGGGCTTTCTTGGCCTCCTTGGCCTTCTTTTCTTTTTCCTCCTTCTGCTTTCGGCCTGGGCCATGGTGCAGTTTCACGAATTTTGTTCAACTCATTTGTGAACTGAGGACCCAACGACGCTTCAAAGTGTTCACAGTCGCCTTGCCCGACTCAATGTCATCTTCAGCACCCTGGCAGCCAGGCTGCGAAGATGGCAGGATTCCCTGTGGTATCCAGATCTAGACTAGATTAATCTTGTTGGACCTGCACATTGAACATCTCTAGCTGACACTGGGAAAAAATTGTGCCTCGATTCGTTTTCTCTGACGCTTGTAGATCGCCATGACATCGGCAACGGATTGTCCATTTGCATGTTCATCCTCAAGCCTGACAAGTTCCAGATTTATTTTTTGGGCAGGGTGTTGTGGAAACTAAAAGGTTATAGTAGCCCCAGCCTCACAGCAACAGAGCTCAGCCATTTTGCTTGCTCACCAATCCGGTTCTTCATGTCCTCATTTGGACTAATTTCCATAAATCAATAAGACAATCTCTTGGGCGGTTTTGGGCTGGCAATTTCCACAAGCCCCCGGCGTCGTTCCCAGGAAATTCATGAAGGTCGTTGGCCACAGTGCGAGCTTTCTTCCCAAGGCTTCTCAGCCTCAGAAGGGACATATCTCAAGATGTAAAAAAATGCATGACTTGGCCTGGGACCCAGGACAAGCAAAAACCCAACCAATGTAACTTGGGCACTGGCCCGTTGATGATTTTGTTCAAAGATTGAAGCTCTTTTTTCTTGGCTTCTGCCTCTGACACAAGTACATTCAAGAAGACCCTGGATGGAGGGAGGGAGGGAGCGAGAGAGAGAGAGAGAGAGAGAAGAGAGAGAGAGAGGGAGGGAGAGAGAGAGAGAGAGAAAGACAAATATGATATGTGAATAGTGAAGGCATGTTGCAGATAGTGTGAAGGGTTGCGATGCATATAGCTGCACCTGGGGATCTTCCGTTCTTTCTCGTGGTTGCTGGGTAGATCGACCTTTCCCTTTCCTTTTCTTCGGCTTCTTTCCCTGGGCCTCATCATCCTCATCTTCAGTATCTGAATCATTTTCCTTATTCTTGCCCTTTTTGTCAAGAGGGCACATGCTATCCAACATTGAACTGAGAGACTTAGCAACACCTTCCGCCTCAGGATTGGGCCTGGTGCCTGAAGCTGATGCTCCAGCAGAAGGAGCCTGGGACGAATTTTCATCCACAGATTCATCAGCCAGTGGTGACGAGCTCCTCAACTGGCCACCACCGCTGATCTTTGTGGTAGCTGTGTTGGAAGTTCCACCTCATGCAAACGGGTTTCGTGTATTGCAAGTTTGTATAAATATTGGAGCCAACTGCGCACAGAAAGATGGAGAGTAATTATTGAGTAATTATAAGCTTTGAGCACATGGTTTTCAGAGGCCCAAAGTTGAATGAAACATTTTCGAGAAAGTTTGCTAGGGCTGATTTCGTTCACCTTGTATTTGGTTTCAATTCACTTGTTAAAATCTAAGACAGCCACTCTTGAGCTCACGCTCCTTGAAAACCTTGTAGAGCCGATACTGCTCATCTTTCTTGAACTCAGCAGGAAAGGTCGGCAAACTGATAAATTTGCTTCCCAAAAAAACTCATTCAAGAAGGTTAATGAACCCCTTGCAGGTGAATATACTCTCAAGCCTGTGGGTGCGGTCGCCCTTTCTGCGACTTGAAGAGCTTTTCTAGGAAGGCCCTGGTGCCGAAATCAAAGTTCCACTGGTTCAACCATGGCGTCATTTCAGAATAAACTATGTTGAAACCTGCCTCCCATTTTCGGATCCTCCATACTCCTGCTCCAAATCAAGACGCGACTTCTCAAGGAAGATCTCATGGTCGTCGTTGTTGCTCGACCTGGACATGTTTGGAGGTGGCAGCCAGGCTGCATAACTGGGGTGTACAAGTATGTAACAAATCTAGGCGCATGCAACTTGATGTACTAAAACTTGACAGAATATATAAGAGATGTGGGCGCTTCAGTACTGGCCCCTTCTCTCAGAAGCGTATGGTAAATTCATTTTCTGATATCATCATTTTCAAAAACAATGGTTTTCCAGCTTTCCAAACCCTTAATGCCAAGTGGCTGTTTGATGCTGGCATCCAGCTTGACATCCCGCCTGCAGTATACGCGAAGTCATGTACCAAGTCGGTACCAGGCATTACCAGTCAGAACTTTGGGGCATATGGAGAGACTATAGTTTTTTTTCCAAGGGACATCTCATCTGCGAGGAGAAATTCCTTCAGCATCTCGAACCTAGGGCGGTACGATTGGGGATGCACGGGATGCCCATTCACAAAAGAAATCAACAAGTGTTTTTGTCAGCTAAACCTGGTTATATAAGCTCAAGGCTTCTTGGAATGGTTGCCGGCTGCTGCATGGAATTTTTGAAGAAGGGAAGCTGGTAGGTCTGCAGGTGCCATCAAAAGTATATAGGTGCACGGTGGGCACAAAAGACATGTGAGACACATGCATACATGTATATATATATATGTGTGTGTGTTTTGCTTAAATAAATATATCTATATATATATATATAGGTTTATTTCTTTCTTTATGTGTTTACATGTATGTAATATATATATATATGTGTGTGTGTGTAGTCAGTAAAGATATTGCACATATAGGGAATGTGTGTGATAGATCCACACCTCCTTTTTCGAAGCGTCGGTCCATGGCAGAATATAGGCACCGCCTCTCCTCAAGCATGACAGACTTGGTTCAAGAAATTGTTCCAGGTCTCCAGGTGTACTGGGCGGATAGATAGATAGATAGATAGATAGATAGATAGATAGATAGATAGATAGATAGATAGATAGATAGATAGATAGAGAGAGAGAGATATATATATATAATGTTTAAAAAAACATATATAAATATATCGATCGATCTATCTATTGGGAAGTCCTTGACCGGTATCTCCGAAGGGCTCTGCATTGCTGAGATGGCATCCTTTTGTTCAGGGCTCAAGTGCTTGACCTGAGATACTGATAGTTGCACACGCAACGATCTAAGGAGTCAAATGGCTGAGCTGGAAACTCTGCGCATTTTGCCGTTGGCGTCTTTCACAGCAAGGCCGCTCACCTTGACGGTCCCACATCCATTTTCCTAGGATGAAATGCGCAATACCAAACAGCCACAAGCGGCAGTAATCATAGGGATCGATGTTTTCCCATTAATGCTGGTCAAGATTCAAGGTCAGTAGTGGTCGATGTGTCTGATCTTTGCCTGATAGCATTTATAAGTTTCTTGGACAAAGCATGGGGTGAGCAGGTCAAAGTTTATCATTGCACTGCAGTACCATATTTGGAAGATTACCCCAATCTTGGGGTATTTATATACACTTTGAATTTTGATATGTCTCTGTCTTCATGAACGCCAAATAAGACTAGTTTCAGTGGTCTCTGTGAGGGTGATGGCGATGCTGTTGAAGTAGGCGTAGCAGGTACCTCTCCATCGCCTGTCAGAAGCTGCGCACTCACCAGTATAGTATATGTGCCCCCAGTGGTATATAGGTTTGTGTCAACCCCCATGTACTATTTTGTAAATATTGTAGGCAAATAAATATATATATATATATGTAACAACAATACATGAATACACCTATCATGCCAAAAAAACTCTGACCATCTTGGGGGCCCCATACTGTAGTTCATTTGAACACGTTGGCTGGGAAAAACAGAAGCTAATTTCAGGACATGGCCATTGGAAGTTAGAATGACAAATATCATATACAAAATCAACTGCTTCGTCTGAAAGCACCCAAGTACTGAATTGAGCCATGGCAAGTAAACCAGTTCTTTGGGAATAGCTGCGCCCAACAAACCAGGTGATATCTTATGTTTTCCTTTCACTTGAAGATCGAACATGGCTTTGCTAAGTGTGCTGGTTTGTGTTGACGCGAGAAACTTAAGTTCCCCAAGATAAGAAAAGGATAGCAGACCAGGCCTTTGCCTTTTCCTTTTCCTTTGTTTCCACCCTTCACACGTGGTGTCCATGTGGCAGCTTTGAGATCTTCTAAGGCCAATTGGACCTTACCCTTTTTCCCTTTTCCTTCACCTTTTGATTTTCCTTGGCCCTTCCCGCCCTTGTCACACACACTTGTCTCTGGCTCGATAGCAGGGTGCACCTCATCAGTGTCCGAGAAGGTGACCTTTCTGGCCAAAGGTTTGCTGCTTGATGTCTTCTGATCGGTGTCTTCCTCAGGTGCAACATCTCCGTCCTGGTTTTTCTTCTTCTTCTTCGTCGGTTCTTCCGTCTCAAGTGCCTCATCTCCATCTCCTTCCTGGTTTTTCTTCTTCTTCTTCTTCGTCGGTTCTTCCGTCTCAAGTGCCTCATCTCCATCTCCTTCCTGGTTTTTCTTCTTCTTCTTCTTCGTCGGTTCTTCTGTCTCAAGTGCCTCATCTCCATCTCCGTCCTGGTTTTTCTTCTTCTTCTTTGTCGGCTCTTCTGTCTCAAGTGCCTCATCTCCATCTCCGTCTTGGTTGTTCTTCTTCTTCTTCTTCTTCTTCTTTGTCGGTTCTTCCGTCTCAAGTGCCTCATCTCCATCTCCGTCTTGGTTCTTCTGTTTCTTCCTCTTTGTCGGTTCTTCCTTCTCAAGTGCCTCATCTCCATCTCCGTCTTGGTTCTTCTGTTTCTTCTTCTTTGTCGGTTCTTCCTTCTCAGGTGCCTCATCTCCATCTGCGTCTTGGTTCTTCTTTTTCTTCTTCTTCGAAGATGATGGTTCTTCCACCTCAAGTGCCTCACATTCTTGGAGCTTCTTCTTCTTCTTCTTTGACGGTTCTTCCTTCTCAGGTGCATCATCTCCGTCTTCTTCTCGGTGCTTCTTTTTCTCTGCCTCATGTGCATTTTGTGCCTTCTTGGCAGCTCGGCGTGGCTTCTCTTCCTCCGGGTCTTCGTCATTGGTTCTCTTCTTTCTGGACAAAGAACTTGCGGGCTTCTCACTATCCCGGTCTTCACCAGTGGTTGTCTTGGTCTTCTTTGTCTTTGCCGTTGGCTTCTCATCTTTGTGCGTTGAAACATATTCTTCGCCATCTTCCTGGTCTGGCTCATAGGACCCATCATATCGTTTTGTTTCTTGGTGCTCGAGTTTGACAGGTGTCATCCCAGACCCTTTCCCATGCCCTTTGGCCCGGTGCAACTCTTGCATAGCTGCTTTCAAGCCATCCTTTGTCTCCGTAGAAGCATCTCCCTTCTTGATTGCCAGAATATGTTTCTGAATCCTAGCATAGAGCTCAGGGAAATGTTCCTTCAGAACAGCACGGTCAGAAAGGTCCTTGGAGACTTGTGGTGTCTTGCCATGGATCCTCTTCAGAGGTGGATCGGACTTCTCTGGGGTGACGAAAGCTGCTTCTTCCGTCCTGCGAAGCTCAAGAATCTGGAGCAGATGGGGTAATGGAAGGACTTGGGTGCAGCCAAATAGCATTAAGTAGTCCCAACACCAATCCTGAAGTTGGAAAATTGGATTTCACGAATTTCACGAAATTTCACGTTTTGAAGGACCTATGAACGACTTATGCTATCAAGTTCACGGAATTTCACGTTTTCCTTTTTTTGCTGGTAACCATGAATTTCATGAAATTACGGTAAAAAACCACGAATTTCATGAATTTTCATGAAATTACGGTAAAAAACCACGAATTTCATGAAACCGGGGTGGAAAACGAATTTCATGAATTTTCATGAAATTACGGTAAAAAACCACGAATTTCATGAAATCGGGGTGGAAAACCATGAATTTCATGAATTTTCATGAAATTACGGTAAAAAAACCACGAATTTCATGAAATCGGGGTGGAAAACCATGAATTTCATGAATTTTCATGAAATTACGGTAAAAAACCACGAATTTCATGAAATCGGGGTGGAACACCATGAATTTTTCATGAAATTACGATAAAAAACCATGAATTTTCATGAAATTACGGTAAAAAAACCACGAATTTCATGAAATCGGGGTGGAAAACCATGAATTTCATGAATTTTCATGAAATTACGGTAAAAAACCACGAATTTCATGAAATCGGGGTGGAAAACCATGAATTTCATGAAGTTTCATGACATTACGGTAAAAAACCACGAATTTCATGAAATCGGGGTGGAAAACCATGAACTTCATGAATTTTCATGAAATTACGGTAAAAAACCACGAATTTCATGAAATCGGGGTGGAAAACCATGAACTTCATGAATTTTCATGAAATTACGGTAAAAAACCACGAATTTCGTGAAATCGGGGTGGAAAACCATGAATTTCATGAATTTTCATGAAATTACGGTAAAAAACCACGAATTTCGGAAATCGGGCTGGAAAACCATGAATTTCATGAATTTTCATGAATTACGGTAAAAACCACGAATTTCATGAAATCGGGGTGAAAACCATGATTTCATGAATTTTCATGAAATTACGGTAAAAAACCACGAATTTCATGAAATCGGGGTGGAAAACCATGAATTTCATCAAATTAGGCTGGAAAACCATGAATTTCATGAAATTGGACCCGGAAACCATGATTTTGCCAAACCATCACATCCCACAAACCCGAAGATAAGAAATTTAGGGTTTATTTATATATATATATATTATATATATATATATATAGATATAGATAATAGATAGATAGATAGATAGATAGATATCAACATGCATATGTATGAATATATCTATCTATCTATCTATCCATCTATCTATCTCTCTCTCTCTCTATAGTCGTGACAGTTTCTCTCCTGTGTAAATACT